AAACCCAAAAAATGTCTTTGATAAAGACCAAAGTCCAACTACATGTTGTTATGAGGGTGTGAGAAATAGTCACAAGTAGTCAGTCAAGCTTTAACCTCTGAGGGAAGCTTGAGTCATATGTTCAGAAACTTATAAGGCACATATTTTTGATCCAGAAAGTGCACTTTCTTTTTTTTTAAAATACTTGTTCATTTTATTATTTCTCATTTTTTGTTGCTTTTTTCATTTCCATTATTTTGTTTTATTAGCATATAATAATTGTACTAATAATTGGTTACATTATGACATTTTCATACATTTTAATACATGGATATAATATAGTTTGATCATATTCACTTCCTTATTACCATCTCCTAACTCTTTTACCTCTCCAGATGGTTGTCTTTCTTGTCTCAAGTAGTGCTTCCTCTATTTTCATTTCTCTTTTTTATCATTTTTTTATTTGCATTAGAGACAAGATTGATTTACATGACAATCCCAGTTTCCTTCTCCCTCCCTTCCTCCCGTACCACTCCCCCAACGAAAACACTACCTATCACATGTCCTTTCTTCTATTCTTTACCTGACTCAACCCAGAAAGTACACTTTCAGTAGTTGTTTCTGTAAGGAAGATCTGAAAGAAACAGTAGTTTATCTGTGTTTATGAGAGCAACAAGGGTACAACCACAGTTTCTTTTAAGAGAGGACATTAAGTCAAGAATGGTGTGTATGCAAAGTGAATTATTTGGAAGTTCATATATTCATGTGTGTATGGGGGATAATTTATAGGAAATTGTCAAATGAAAGTAACACTATAAATATGACATGTCATATGCTTCCATTTCTGTTTTGTGGAGCTGAGGATCAAACCCAGGGCCTTCCTTGTGCAAACCAGACCATTTGTTTCTGAGACGAAACATAAATCCCACGTATCTATTTATACATACATAGACTGATAGAGATAGGATATATAAAAAAGTGACAGAAGTGGTTGTATGTACCATAGAAAAGATTTATTGTTGAATGTATATATGTTTTCTCTTTTATTATTTTTGTTGTTTTGTGTGTGTGTGTGTGTGTGTGTGTGTGTGTGTGTGTGTGAGAGAGAGAGAGAGAGAGAGAGAGAGAGAGAGTTACATGTTAATATCTGCATGTGTGTATGAGTATACATTCTTGCATATGTGTGTGTATAGCTGAGAAATTGATTTTGTTTTTTTTTTCCATCTATCAGTATATACCATATTTTTGAGACAGGGTCTCTCTTCTGAATCTGCAGTTGACTGGTTTCACTAGACTGCCTGGTCAATGGACCCCAGGGATTTTCCTGTCTCTGCTTCCTTGGTAGATTAAAGGCTCACACCTTCATGCCTACATTTTTTTTTTACTTTTTATTAGTTCAAATTAGAAACAAGCTTGCTTTACATGTCAATCCCTTCTCCCTCTCCCTCCCCTCCCCCAGTCCCCTGCCAGGTCTCCACCTCATTCCCCCTCTGCTCCCCAGGGAGGGTAAGCACCCTCCATAGGAGCTCCCCAAATTCCACAACATCATCCTGGGCTGGACCTAGGACCTCCCCCATGTGTCTACACTGAGAGAGCATCCCTTCACATGGGATGGGCTCTCAAAGTCCCTTCTTACACCAGGGAAAAAATACTGATCCACTACCAGGGGCCCCCTAGAGTGCCGAGGCCTCCTCATTGACATCCATGTTCACGGGTCTGGATCAGTCCTGTGCTGGCCCCTCCAGACATCAGTCTGGGGTCCATATGCTCCCCTTTGTTCAGTTCAGCTGTTTCTGTGGGTTTTACCAGCCTGGTCCTGACCCCTTTGTTCCTCACTCCTCCATCTCTGCAACTGGGTTCTGGAGTTTTCAGTTCAGTGTATAGCTGTAGATGTCTGCCTCTGCTTCCATCAGCCACTGGATGAGGACTCTAGGATGTCATGCCTACATTTTTACATAGGTATTGGAAATATGAGCTTAAGTCTTTATGGTTGCATATCAAGCACCTTAACCATTCATTCATCTCCAAAACCTTCATTGAGTTCCTTTCACTCTTGGTGATTCAAGTGGTTTCAGAAACTGGTTTGGTGTGACCTTAAGACCGCTTGCAGTTTGAAGCACAGATTCCACTCTGTGTGCCCTGATTTTCTGGATTCATATGGTAGTGGGTGGAAGAGCAGACCCAGTTTCTGCTCATCAACCACATGCCCTCTTCAGCTCTGTGCTGCTCTCTCTGTGTATCTCTATCTCACTAAGCTTTGCCATGGCTGAGGAGCAGGGTGGGGAGAAATGCTCAGTGTTCTATAGACTTTGGAAACGATGTCCCAGAGATGGTCAGATGCCACCAGGAAATGTCCATTATGCAAAGGGAGCATCAGGAAGGAGGTATAGAAACAGACCACTCTTTTTGGAAATAGGGTAACTGGGGTGGTTGTATCCAATTTAGTTTAGATATTAAATGAATTAAAATGGACACATTCATGTTATGAGCCTTGCCTCATCAGTGCTATAAAAAACCTTTCAGCCGGACTGTAATTTGACTCTCCTCCCTGTAATGTTACGTAATTCTCCTATGGTTACAGAGCCCGGAAAAGTGGAAGCTAATGATTAGTTTGCTAAATGCGGTTCATGGAACAGTTCACGACTCTCAGACATGCCAACTGCTGCTGCTGTCGCTTCATATTCCGTTTTCTGGGTTGAAGTTGGATTGTTCCTCAGAAAAAAATGTACAGTAACATTTGTCTTTAATCCAAAAACCAAGACGTGTGGCAGTGCTCATGGGCTTTGGGGACAGAGGGAGGAAGATCATGCCAAGCACATGCCTGGATGCATAGGCTTCTGCAGTCTTGTGTCTGTCTGTCTGTCTGCAGGAGGAAAACAGGAAGCTTCAGATGACAGAGAAGGAAAAGAAAGTCTCAGAGATCAGGACAGTAGGAAAAGTACATTTTCAAACCTTTAAGAGCATTGGCTGCAGTAGAACTTCTGTGGATTTGTCATTCTATGAAAACGGTCCTTCCTTGTTTCATGCTTAAAGAAAGTCATATTGCCCATGGTCACATGTGAGCATTGCACAAGTGTCCCTCCTCCAGGAGTGGCAAATTTTGCAAGCTAAAGTGCTTCTCTGCTTCTTCTGTAAATATATGTCAGAGGAACACCCTGCACAGTATAACACAGCTGAAATTGTGCACTCTCTTGGGAATTACAGGTTAAATTCTTAAGCCATTCATGAGTATTTGACCTCATCCCACTAGGACAAACGTGGGTTCTTTCTCATCAAACAGAAAAGTGTGTCTGGTGACTCATCTCCTTTCCCAGTGGAAATGCATTTAGCCCCATAGGCAGAAACTCTTGCTTGGTGTTCAGTCTTGGGAACTATTGAGAAAGAGGTAGTCTGGTTTCAGTCTCTATTTACCTGGCATGCCATTTAAATAGCAAACTGGAGAACCAGATCTAAACCACTGTGTGTCTTTTATTCCTCTTTCAAAAAGTGGGACAACCAATTAAAGGCACACCACTTCTCTTGTTCCTTGTGACTGGCTCAGGAATGGCCCAAGATCTGAGCCAATCCAGCCATCGTGAATTTAAGGACTCTTCCAAGAGACAAGGGGTGGGGCACTGGCTTGTTTGTCAAAAAAGGTATGCCTAGGTTCAAGTGCTGAACCTGTTTTCTGTACCCCACAGTCTCATTTCTGGCTTTGTTTGGAGACTTTCTCTGAGGCTCTATGTGGTAGCACTTGGCACTTCCATAACCTTGCACCAGCAAGCACATCAAACAGTAGCTTGTCTCCTAGAAATGTCATAGACTTTGTGGCAACTAGAATGAGGCAGGTCCCGCACCATCCCTGAATTGGTTCTCAGTACCCAGGTTGTGCCTTTCAGCTGTCTGTCCTGACTTCACTTCCCAACCCTAGAAGGAGTGATAAAAGAGAACGTCCCAATGGAAATTGAGGCACTGTGCAGAAAGAAAAGAAAATGTGAGCTGGGCTTGTGGGATGTGTCTCCATCTTGAGGAAGGCAGAGTTTGCCTCCACTCACCTAAGCACTCTACTGCTTCCCTTGTCCATTTGTATGTGTCATGACTCCAGAGACAGTAGTACCTGATGACCCATGAAGCTGTTCATCCTCCTGACCTCTACCTTTTTATTCTCACCTGTCTGTGTGCTGCTCAGGACAGCTCCATGACCTTTCTCCTTTAGTAATGTGCTTACTTAAAATACATTTGCTTAAAGGTATGTGCAAGAAGAGGCTGAGAGGAAACTACCAGGAGCCCCCACAGTTGTGGTGGTATTCACTGTACTTAAGCTGGGCTTAAGTCAATTGAAAACATACTATAAAAGTAATGGATTCAGCCCATACAACAATTCAGAAGCGCTAAAAGCCTCAATTCTTACCACTTTAGCACAGTCATCGTTACATTATACATTATGTTTCTCAGAAGTGTTTGAATCTTGATTTTTTTTTTACTTGCCATTACATAATACAAGTACTTTTCATGTCGTAAGTCATCAGTATCATGTAAATGGCAACATAATATTCCATCAGGGAGGTATATTGTAATTCACTTAGCCATTTCCTGTGATTAGACCTTTAGACTGTCTCTTTTGTTTTCCTCACTGTTTTAAAGAATGTGTGATGAATGTGTCTGGTTGGTAGCTTGGCTCAGGCTTTGTCTTCTTCTCTGAGGTGAAATGGGGAGAAATGGAATTACTGGTTTGGAGGATCTGAACATTTCCGGACTCTCACTGATACATATTGTCAAATTCCTTTCCAATCTGTTGCATTGATATCAGATGTCTCTAGCCATTTATGCACTGAGTACCTTCACCATATTCTTCTAACGATCGATATTTGGATTTTTAAACATTTCTCTGATGCCATAGGCAAAATAAATATCTCTTTTTAACTTTAACTTTTATTTTTCTAGTTAATGATGAGGCTGAGTGCTTTCGTGTTTCATGTATGGATATTTGCTGTTAATGTATTTTGTGCTTTGTTTTGTTCATTGTCTTCTCTTCATTTTAGATCCCAAAGCAGCCTCGGAGACAGAAACTGATATCTGTGCAGAATGGGAGATAAAGACTGTCACTAGTGCTCTGAAGACCTACCTGAGGTGGGGATTTCCACTTGTGAGCAGCAAGCCACCTAATTAGCATGCTGTCAGGAAGAAAGTAGTTTTATTTGCAGCCTCCAGAGAGCTGCTGGGTGGGTGTTTGAGATGTGGAAACAGCTTCTGTGTGGGAGCATTAAGTTCAGCCAGTCAGGGTGATCATAAATTGCTCAGGGTTGATGGGCTGTCACTGTGCAATGGTGCCATGAGTGATTTAGAAAGCCCTGCTGTTAATGACATATATTAAGATGATTAGCCTTAGACATGCCCTAAACTATGGCCTCCCCTGAATTATCTGTTAGGAAAACAAGAGCTCAAGTCACTCATTTGAACAGACTTGATCACATATCCAGCTTATTGTGACTGTTTTGTGTTTTATACAGAATATATTTGAGAGGGGAGATGTGGGAAAATTGCCACTTGGAAACTGCCTTTTGGTTTCTGCTGGTGTAGTTAAACTGAATAAAAGGGGAGGGAAGGGAGAGAGAAAGGAAGGATTACCCTGTACTATTATATACTATTATACACAGTGTCACAGCTTCCCCCATCCCTTATTTGAACTATTGGCTCACTACTTACATCTCTCTCCCCCCTTTCTTCCTCTCCCCCTCCCTCTCTCACACACACAGTGTGAGAGAGAGATCCCTGAAACCTGCACTCAGTAGGAACACTGGACTATTGGCTCACTGCTTACCTCTCTCTCTCTCTCTCTCTCTGTGTGTGTGTGTGTGTGTGTGTGAGAGAGAGAGAGAGAGAGAGAGGGAGGTCTCACACACACACACACACACACACAGAGAGAGAGAGAGAGAGAGAGAGAGAGAGAGAGAGAGAGAGAGAGAGAGAGATCCCTGAAACTTGCACTGTAATTCTATGTTGGAGTTATACAGGAAGATGGGTTGTAGTCTTAAGCAGGAGGACTGGAATCACACATTGAGTATACAGGCTTTATGAAGATCCCTGTGGCTAGACAGCAAATTAGATCACAAAAAAGGAGTTGGTAATGCAGGCTTTATTTGGGACATTGAGAGAGTGAGATGCAGTGCAAAGGGGTGACTAAAAGCTGAGTCAAGGAAGCTGGGTTGATGAATGAAATCTGAGCCACCTATGATGAAGAGTGTTTGATTATTATTTGAAATATAAGAAAAAGCTTATTTGTTCACACACAGTTGATACAATGTCCTGTGTCCCTTTAATACTTTGAAGTAATATTCTTCTTGGAAGCAAAACACCTGCACAATTTTTTATAGTGTTTCTAGAAGCACTGATTTCAACAAACTTCTGGGGAAATGAGTGCTTAAGGTTGGCTGATGCCAGTACGTTGCTTCTCAGACAGCCCTAATACTTTCTCGTTTGTGGGTGACTCACTGACTGAAAGGAGGTCTTTGGGTTTGTGCTGGATTTCTGTATCAGTCCTTGACACTCTGTGACTGATGGGTAGTTGTATCTATCCCTTTCAAAAAGAGAGAGGGGCAGAGTGGTGCAAGCACCTGCAAACCCAGCATCTGGGAGGTAGAAGAAAGGTAATGAGTTCTAGTTCAGCCTCTGTGACATAGCACGATGGTGGTGGTGGAGAGGAGGTGAAGAAAATGTGAAACTGAGGATTTCAGGGGGCATGTCACATGCTTTCTGTCAGTGCCACTGCATCAAGGGCTGTTGTTTCTCTGTGTGCTGTGTATTAGAGCCGTGCTGTGCTGTTTGGCAGTATTCAGGGTGCTGCTGAGCAAGAGTGGTCATCTCACTGTGGAAATGATTTGTCTCTGTCTATTTATTGTATTCTAGAATGCTTCCAGGACCACTCATGATGTACCAGTTTCAAAGAAGTTTCATCAAAGCAGCAAGTAAGCATTTTGGTTAAAGTTTCAAGGAGAAAAAGAATAGATTTTTCTATTTCGAGGAACATTCAGAATCCCAAAATAAATACTGTCTAGCCTGCCACATTCTACATGCAAAATGTCTTCAAGCAAGCTTATGAAATTCTATAACAGAATAAAAATGAAATGGAATCAAGACTGCTAGGGGCCTCACTACAACTTTGACTTTACAGTAGAAGAGACACTGTAAAGAGACACTGAGAAGGAGGGGAAAGAAGTAAGGAGAGAGGAGACAAAGGCAGTTTTGCCTTTCTAGTTTTGATTATTGGAGTTGTAACTTCTTGGGGTTTTTTTTTCTACCCTTAAAGTAGCATTCTGCAGAATGAAACAGGCATTGTACACCTCCTAAACTGAGCATTGGAAGTGTTTCCCTGAGTATGACACCATTTATGTAACTTCACAGTTCTTTTTCCACCATATCTTCCATTTACAGCTTCTGATCATTCTTTGATGCTATCATTGAGGCCCTTAGTTCATATTACTGGTATTAAAATACATAGGGATTAGGTTCAAGCTACCCGAAGTATACTGGAATCTGTCTACGTGGGGCAGACCAGCAGTAATGGGGCAGTTAGATTCTCTATCACATTTAAACCTGGCAGGACTGCTCTTGGTATTATGATGCCCATAGCTTGTGCTTTTCCATGGTTCCTTTTGGCCTTTGGGGTTTGTTTACCCTGGTAACACTACTGGCCTAATTTTACAGTACCTAATGTTCTGATAACCTTATACACTTGAGCTTGTCCTCTTCAACAAGGAGAGGAAAGGCATGGGAGGATGAAGAAGGTGTTTATGTGGATTCTTTCTCAGGAAAAATTCCAAACCCTTAGTAACCATTCTTTAATTAAACTTCACATCAGTTCTATAAATAGGCATGATGAATATTAGCAATCTATTTCCCAAGTTTACTCTAAAGGTGACAGGCTATAGGTATTGCGTGACAGAAAGATTTAAATATTGTGTCTGTCACTTCTTTCTTTCCACTAGGCTAGTGTGTTGCACGTAGCACACTTAAGCACAGTGGTGATTCCTTTGACGCCTCTGGATATGTTATTTTGAAATTTGAGACCTTTGTAATGTTCGCATAAGATCTGTTTACCACTTCACAAGTGCATAAAGTTCCTTCTTTCCTTGAAATGAAGCTGGCCCTCTAGGGAGCCAGCTGCTCCCATGTTTGTTCCCTCCTTGGGTGTGCAGTTGACCAGCTCCATTTCATCACAGTCATTATTTGGATGAACTCTGATACAGAAAACACATTGAAAGGCCTCTCAGAGCCATGCAAGACAGGGTTGTAAATCCTCGAGAATATCTTCCTTGTGTTAGGGCTGAGGCTTTAGTTTCCCGTGGCCTTATCTTGTCTAGTCAATTAGCTGTGACTCCCATAAAACATTACCTTTTCCTTCCCAGAGCTGGAAAACCAAGAAACCCGAGTGTCTGAGATCCACAGCCTGGTCCATCGGCTCCCAGAGAAGAACCGGCAGATGTTGCAGCTGCTCATGAACCACCTGGCGAAGTAGGTTCCTCTCCTACTGCCTCTTTCCCCCACCCCAGAGAGTTGTGACTTTCACAGTGAGCTCAGCGTGTCTGTCTGTCTCCTGCTGTTGCATCAGGTAGGCCGGAGGCTCAGGAAAGAAGCAGGTGCTGTGGTAACTGCAGAGAACACACTTAGTGCCAGGTGGCCTTTGCCAAAGCCTGCACAGGGCCACAGTGTAGGTCACCAGAGGTTGCAGGGGATTTTGCTCTTGTGTTGTTCAAGGGCAATCCAGAGTTTTTCAGCCATTACGTCAGGTCAGCATGGAGTTTTCGGGTTCTAGATCTTCTTTTGAGGACTGGGGAAGAGCAATATGTTGTGTTGTATGGTTACAGAATTTGGATTGGGAACAAATGGTGGTGGTGGGTGAATGTATAAAGTTTACTCAACCCATAAAGCCCTAAACTCACTGAACTGATATGCTGTAAATCTGCCCTTCAGTGCTTTGCTCATGCCTTTAAACCATTCCTCTGAGGTCAGTTGGTATTCCTCTATGGGAGGTTGTTATGGTTAGTTTTCATATACCTGTCAAGCACTTGATGTTACCTTTCATGGGGAGGGGGAACACATATGTCTACCATAAAGGTTTACAAAGCTATTATAAAGAATCAAGGATGTTGTGAGTGTTTGTGAGAAACAAGTGGCTACAGTCAAGGAATTTTCCACTATTGATCTTTTTTCTTTCCTTTTTGTGATGCCATATCAGAACTGCATATTTCAAAATAATTAGGAGGCACGTTTTAGAACATGTGAGTTTGCAGAGAGAATGTCCCCAAAATGTCAAAAGAGCCCTGTTGACATTTGCTGAAAGTAACAGGAGCATAGCTTCAGAAAACAGCTCCTGACGCTCTGAGACGGATTTGGTGCTTCTTCCTCACATCCCCACGTCAGGCATCTGCTACCTAGAAAGCTGGTTTCCATTGTTCCAGACAGAACTTTGCATACCTCAGGCAGACACTGAAACGGGAGGCTGTAGATGCACATTCAGCTGAGTTCATGAAGGGTGCCTGTGAGTGGGTGGTGACCTCTGAATCTTCAGGAGGCTGTACAGTCAGCTGGGAGCAGCTGGAAAACAGAGGGTTGGAAACAAGCCAAAAGCAGTGTGATTGGAATGATCTTAGGTGGGTCAAGAGTTAATGGTGATCCATCAGGACTCATATTGAAATTTCACCCATTTGTAATTGCCCTGAGGACTGTTAAGACTCTTTAAAGAAGAAAAGGGTTAAAACAATAAAACAGTTTATCCTCTTCCAACTTAAGACATAATACAACTAGAGAGAATATAGAAGTTGTGCTAGTGGTCTTGACTTCTTACCTTTCAACCAGTTTATACAAAGCTTTGTTTTTTGTTGCTGTTTTGTTTTCTGTTTTTTTTTTCCACTGCATGTCTGGAGCCTTTTGTGTTGACAGTTGTCTTGGCCTTATGCCATTTCTTTGCTTATTTAAGTACCAAGACATCTACCCATCACCTAGCTCCTGTGCCTTACTGTGGGTGGGTGAAAGCTGCTGAGGTGAAACAGACTCCAGCTCTCAGCTGTGCTCCCTGCCCTTGGTCCACAGCACTTCAGTTTTAAGATGTCCTTGAGAGAGATGGATGGAGGGGTGTTGCTCTGGAGTTTCTTTATTCTAAGGAGTTCTCAGATCCTACTTGAACAGTGCTCTGGCTTATACTTGCTGTCATTTTAGAGTCCAGCTGTGAGGGAAACTGAGCTTGGGGCATGAGCTTTGTTTAATTTCAGTGTTCTCCGGCTCAGACTTAACCCAGGACTGGCCTGAGCTATTGTTCCCTGGCCACCCTCTTAATGGTCAGCTTCCTTCCTAAGTTTTGGTTTCAGGGCCGGAAAACCAGTGTTTGTTTCTCTTCTTACCTACTGGGTATCAGCCTCTGGTTCAAAGTCAGACATTATGTATTGAGGGTTTTTCATTTGTTTTATACTTTCTAAAGTTTAATATTTCTATAAAATTTGTATAATTTCTAAATTTAATCACAAGAGAAAATACATTTGGGGGACTGGCGAAGAGCTTGAAAGGAAAAAAATAAAACTTCTGACCTCTAAAGCAAAATTATTACTAAGATGTATCCTAGTCACAGAGAGTTGGGTTTGTCCCGGACCTCAGAGGAACATCAAAATTACAGGCAGCCATGCACATGTTTGTGTTGATCCAGCTTAAATCTACTATGATAATTAGATGTTTTCTATTTGTGTCTTTGGATCTAGTACGTAGTCTGGAGTCACTTGCCTGCAAGTGTGGCTGGAGCCACCCAGAGAGCTTGTTCACACTGGCCATCCTGTGCCTCTACTGGCAGCTGCTGCATTTCTGGGTGACTTCACAGATAGAAAATACACAAACAGACCCTTGAGAGCCACTGACCTACAGGAGAGGTCATATATAAATATTTTCAAGGAAGGGAGATGGTATTAAAGAGGGATATCAGTTGGAAATTTGGAGCATATTGAAGATGGAGGAAGAAAATTAACACTTCAAATACAAATGGCACTATTGTCATCATTAAATTGGTCTTTAAAAGTCTTTCTTTGCTTTCTCTGGGGTTTGCATTGAATTGAGCTCTAAGCACATGAATTTATTTTAAAGTAATACACAAAACATTTTCATTATGAAGAAAATCAAGGCCAGTTAGTTTTGGGTCTCTACAGTTCTGCCTCTTTAAGCCTCAGTTTTCTGGTGTGTGTGTGTGTGTGTGTGTGTGTGTGTGTGTGTGTGTGTGTTTCTGTGTCTTCACCAGGTAGGCATGAGGGTAGGGGTGGCTCATAATAGAAATAAGAAAGAAAATTCCTAATCGTATAATTATGGAATAAAAGAACAGTGGATGAGTAATAAGGGCAAACCTCATGGCGGTTTCCTGATGTTTACACATTTGATGACTCCAAGTATGTTGCATACCCCACACGTATCATTCACAGTGGCTCATCCTTAACTTTATTACAGTGTCTGTGCTCTGTAGGAGGATTTCAAAGCACCCTCTATACATCAAGGGTCACTATTAAAACTAACCTTTCACAGCTGGTTTTCCCAAAACACTTATTGAGAAATGACTCTCTCTCTCTCTCTCTCTCTCTCTCTCTCTCTCTCTCTCTCTCTTCACAC